ATGAGTAGCTGTGAAGTTGCTCTTCTTGCAAGAATATTGCACCAAATCCATCTTTCGATAAATCCGTATGTGGATCCGTCATGGCATTTCTATCGTATATACGTAAAATTGATTCATTTAGTAACGTTGGCTTAAGAGTCTGAATTGCACGAATTTCTTTGGGATTTATAATAAATTGAGCTTCATTTTCCAGTTTTGTGATTCCACGACGCTTCTCCACTTTCGAATGAGGCAATTTACCTATCTGCCTTTGGACTTATCATTAAATTCATCTAGGTCTTTGGTTACAGAATCATTTTTTGCACGTTTCTTTTCTAGGCTTCTGATGTTGAATGTTAATTCTTTTTTCTGCTTTGATTTGAAGCTGCTTTTTAATTTTTTTGTTTTTGACTTTCTTCCTTTTTTAATGATTTTCTTCGGTTTTAAATGATTAAAATTCAAATTTAAAAAAAAAAATTATTCGAAAACTTTTATATCTAATCGCATATAAACATTGTACTTGTATAAATTTTCGAATGTATTTATTTATTTGTGTATTTGCTTAATTTTATTTACACATGAAATTCAGCCAAAATATTAGTTTGGGGAAAAAGAAATCCATTATTTTTATATGAACTTCAGGACTTTATTTAACATGCTTCGGATTGTCCGATTTGGGTCAAATATGCACCGTTTTGTTGTACGATTTATTGCCATCTTAAAGGTAACTTCAAAATATCTCTCTCATAGAAGTCCTGGTCTCTATTTGCAAAAAACTCTAGTAGTCGATTTTCACAATCCTCCCTAGATTCCAATTTTTTATCATTAAAGAAATTTTGCAATGCAAGAAAGAGATGATAATCGCTTGGTGCCAAATCCGGACTGTATGGCGGATACATTAAAACTTCCCAACCAAGCTCCCGAAGTTTCTGGCGAGTCACTGTACATGTATGTGGCCTAGCGTTATCCTGGTGGAACACGACACCTCTCCTGTTGGCCAATTCTGGCCGTTTCTGGTCAATCGCTATCTTCAAACGGTCCAGTTGTTGACAGTAGAGATCAGAATTTAGCGTTTGGCCATATGGAAGCAACTCATAATAAATAATCGACGATACTTTACAAGAAATCTACCAGTGCAGCCATCTACCGAAAAAAGAATGAATTTCTTTTTCCCCAAACTAATATATTATTTGCAGTGATAACAATAAATTTATTATATTTCAATGTAAATTTATTATGTTTATTTACCGATTATCTCCCCCATAATTAGCAAGAGTAAAATCAGTTGCAACTTAAGGAAAGCGCAACAATTCTCTCTATTGAACTTAAACATAACAAATCGTTGAAGACATAATAAGATGGCACAAAACATTATAAAAAATCTCGTATTTAATCCCTTTGCTGTCTGTTAGATTAAATGCTTGTTTTCGTTGTGATCACTAGTAGATTTACCTTATGCAAATATTTAAATATGGGCACGGGAACATAAGGAGTCAGTACATAAAACTTGGTAGGAGATTCGTTATCACTATTACGGTGACGAGAACATAAAAAGGCGTAGACCTGTTGCTTTAAGAAGAAAAACTGCAAATTCGATCTCAGACCGGACCGGCAAGGTTTGTATAATTTCAGAGCGTTTTGTTAGTCGTAAACTTGATGGTGTTGCATCCATATTCAAAGTCTTTGAAGGTTTTCTCGAGGGCCCACGAAGAGTTAAGCTATCATTTAATATTACGATAAGACAAACGGTGCCTTACTTCGCATTTAGAGTCTTTGGCAAGATATATTGTATGTGTTTTGTCAAAACTTATATAGAGATCAAGATCGGCACATGCATCAAAAGAAAGTTTTTTTTTATTGAGGGGCCTCCACGGCTGCTGAGAAAGGTGAGTCAGCGGTCACAATTAAAAAATCACACCATATTGAAAAATATGAGTTTCATCGTCTTGAAGGTCATGCAACTTAGCCGTATACAGATTGAAAAAGATGAGGCTCAAGCAACTGCCTTGTGGAATACCATCATGCACTTCAATTTTGTGTGCACCTATTACCAATACACGTTTGAATAAAACGTTTGGTATTCACTGGAGTATTTGAAGAGGGACTGAAAAGTTTAAAAGAATTCTTCATCAAGGAAACACAATCATAGGCTTTACTGATATCGAAGAAAAGCATAACAAAAATTTTACAAGCTTTTTTCATAGTGTGAGTGTGCGTCCATTGACGCACACATTCGTAGATTTCCGTTTTTGATACGTATACGAACGGTAGACATAGCCGTCGTTACGGCGTTTAGTGGCTGAAGCATAAGTAGCGAAAACATTGTCGTTTTTTAGGAAAACTTCACTTCAGATGCAAAAATCAATATAATCGGAATAATTGGAGGACTATTTTTCTCTTATCTTTTTATACGTAAAATTTTGTATATCCATGGTCTTATTGGGAGCTAATTTCCGTTCTCTGTTCAGATAAGTCTTGTTTAGGGTATTATGGTCGTTCGAACCACAAGCAATACATTTGATCACCACGTAGTAATCACTGCATTTAATCGTCTTGCCGCAGTTAATGCACCTGGTCTCTTTAGGCTTACAAAACTTTGAAATATTTGCAAATGTCCCACACTTTAAGCATTGTTTTAGAAAGGAAAAAAAGAATTGACCAGGAGAACACAAACTTAATGGATTAAGGGAAGAATTTTTCATTAAAACCTATTTCCACGCTAATGGTAGGGATGAACTCCTTTTTGCAGTGTGGATTTTTTCACCGAAACTTTATAGTCCACTTAATTGGAATAGCGGAAACCGCATTTTTGATAAGATCATTAATGTCACAATTCAATGGAATGTTTCGTACTCTACCGAATCTTCTAATAAATATATGCTTGGTTATATTTTGGCTTAGCCATTATTTTTAATGAAAAGGTTGGCATGGAGGGCAGCGTTAAAAAGTGATCTGGCTCTGCCGTTGGTAACCACGCAACTTAAAACAATAGTGAAATTTTTAAGCTTTCAAATCACACTTTTCAACGCTTTTAAAGTATCCATACAAGAAGATACTTACGCCGTGGGCGTGTTCACGTTTTAGATTTTAACAAACACAAGGAAATTGCCCTGCTTGCCAAAATAGTATAAATTTACTTCAGCGCTTGGAATACCTTTGGCACCCTAATGAGAAGAAGAAGTAGGTAAAAGAGTTAAGTCCACACCTTGCCCGGCTATCCTCGATCTCTTATTGTTTTCAGTCATATTCAAATAAATATTTTCAAAAACATTTTCGTCTACAATAATCGGATCTAAACCTGTGTTCAAAAGAAGACAGACTGATATAATTTTAACTGTTATAGATGCTATTATTGGAAACGCTTACTAAAAATCCAAAAGTAAAAGAAAGAAAACTTTACATTAAAATAAGCGTTTTTTTAATTTCACATTTTCTTTATTTTAATAACTATTTTACTAAAACACGACAAACACGCCAGAAAAATTTTCAGCTGCCGTTTGCTTAAGCATATTGTGTTAGCTTCGAGTGTTGATTGTTGAAGTTTTTGTTTACATAGCCGAAAGAAAAGCAATAATATATACAAAAATTTTTTTTTTCCAATTCACAAAATTTTCGCCCATTACTTTCTTAACGGAATTAACCGTTATTTTTCGGATTTTGACATCCACAATTAAATATAAACGAACATTTCACCCTTTTTTCTGCTTTTTCATTTACATGTGAATGGTAGCAACAAAGTTGACATGTTTATCAGCTATCGACTTGCTCGCGAACGAAAGTTTACTTTTAGATACCTGATTACCCCCTGGTGTTGTTGTCAAGTCAGTACAGAAAATCAAGCGATTCATAAATATTCAATTATTGTTTTAAGATTACAAGAGGCTTCATAAAAATAAACGGTTCGCGTTTATGCATAAAAACAATCAGCTGATGATCTTCATATGGTGTTATCCATTTCTATAACAGTATTCCCTGTTTTGTGTTACTTCAAATAAATGCAAAATGTGGTTGGAAAATTTTTTCTAATTATACTAATAAATATGACCAGTTTTGGGAGTATTACCGCTTTCAATATATGTTGTGAACGCGTGCAACATTCAGGTGTATTATTCCTATATATATTACTTTCCTGGATTAATTAATTTATTCCTTTGAATGTTAGTATAATATTATTTTTTAGATTTAACCATTAAATTCCTTATAATGAATATCGTTTTATTTTTATACTCTTATTTTTATAATAATATATTTACTTATATTATATTCATATTTTTATTTCGCTTATAACTGCATTGCAATCGTTATGTAATTATATATAATTTTATTATTTATGGTGGCTACTGCTAAGGAGTCTGAGGCGTCATTTTTATTTTTGAGGAGTAAAAACAAAAGCATATGCATCCAGAGCAAAAAAGAAAGAAAGAAATTAACGCGAACATAAACAACAAATTTATAAATAATATAAATAAGGAAGTTGATAAAAACGGAACTCTGGTAACCCTGCGTCAAACTGCAAAGATTTTTCCTCTTCCCGTTTCCCGTTCTCTATAAAATATCACTAAATAAAATAAATTTATTAAAGTATCTCAACCAAAAGTGAATTTTTGCGAGGCAAAGCATCACAAATGCTGGCTGGCTACGTAACTCTAATGCAAACTTGCGTGAAATAAGGAATCCTGCATAAAGAAACTTTTGCACAGATTTTCTCGCTTCATCATTTTAAGCATTCAACGGAAATTAAAGTTGAGCGGATTTTGAACTGCTGACTTAAGCAAATGCTTGTTAAGAAGTCAAAATGACTGGTTTTGTGCACGATGGTATAACATATACATTTATAAGTATTTAAGAGGCAAGGGATGTAAATAGAATCATTAATAAATGAATTTATGTCAGGAATAAAAAGTCACAAAATTCTAAGAAAAGAAATGATTTCCTAATCTCATATTAAGAATCAGATAAGTTGATCTACTTTTTTCTAGGTTGAAGGGAACATAAGCTGAAGTTACCATTTCTAAGTTAGCTAAATTTGATCAATTTAAAAACAAAAAACAACATAAATCTCTTTGAAATGCCACCGGAAAAGCTTCTGAAGCATGTCAATAATGAAGACAAATCGGCAAGTAACAGTCTTCTTCCGCTGTTGGCGCTAACGAAGTTGAGATAACCGATGAAAACTCTGGCTCTTCCCTGGTTTGACAGCCATTAACCAACCTCAAATGAACCTATGTGTAGATGACCAGCTGACCACGATGTGCCCAAATAGCGAGAATCAACGAATCTTGATCTCCTCCGATTTGGCTTTTTATGAATATCTAAACAGCTTCAAATTAACACATCTAGAAGCCATAAAAATTGTAAACAAATGTAAAGTTACACTCTTTACCGTGCGTCCATTGCAAACAATTTTATGTTAAATAGCGACCTGCTATCTAAAAACCTGAAAGCGTATATTTCCAGGACCTACACTGAACGATTTTAAATTGTGCGCAAAACATCCACGGACTAGATCCAAAATTTATCAGAAGCAATGCTAGGCTCTACCTCAACATTTTGATAGTATTGCTCTTTTCTGGTACAAGGACTTCTCACGTGCTCTGCATTCTAAGAAGAAACTTTCTTGAGCTGGTTACGAGGAGCGCTTTCAAAAAACAGTCGTATAACTTTATTTGACGCCATCAATCATTATAGGACAACTAATACCTTTCCTGATAATTGCTGCCTCATCAAGATCATTTCAATCCCCAAGCCTGACAGAAGCAATGATAATATTAGGAACTATAAGCCGATCGATCTTACTTCAGCTTACTAAAAATCATGAACTTTATGTTCAAAGAAAGATTCATCTTTTCTCTTAATGCTCATCATCAGCATCACACCCGCTTGTTCTTTGGCGTATTGAAAACACAAGTCAACAGACATGTGCATCAATGAATTATTCATTGTGAAAAGAAGCAGACAGAAAGGTTTTATTGGCTCTTGACATTAAAAGCTCTTATTTTCGTTGACATTCCCCTCTACATTCATTCGAGCCGATTTCTGATCTTGGGCTGTGGTTCAAAGCTGTGTGCCGCAAATCAGCTGCTTAAGCGCCTTCCTTTTCAACTTGTACACGGCCAACTTGCACCACCTGCCAGCCTGGAAATCCCATATATTCCAATATACTGATGACAGTAGTAGTTCTGCTAGTTTCGTCGGTTGTGTCAGTCAATGATGCCGTTGAGAATCTCTCTACAAAAGCAAATCTGAATGAGCTAAACTTAATTTATATTTAAATTCGAACAAATACAATGCACTTTTTCAGTAAAGAGATCGAATAAAAAATCAAAGTAAATTAATACAGGTCTTGTCAGCTTATTGAAATTTCCACCAACTGAAGCCTCACTTCCCGTAACCACTGTAAAAAGGCTTTCAAAAATTGTCAGTCTGATTCTCAATATTGATTAACAAACACGCGATTCTGCCCCCAAAAGTCTTCTTGATCTACAAGCCATTGGTCGAGTGAAAAATAGAATTCGAATTTTCTGCCACCTGCAATCTTCCCCAATATATAAGTTGCAGTCATGAGCGAAGAGATCCTATACAGCTACAGCATCTGATTAGTCATGTATTCGAAAAATTAAATACAAAAAGTACATTCTTTTGTTAGTCCTAAAAGTTTTATATAAAGAGAAACTGAAAAGCTATCATAACAAATGCTTTGAAATACACGCTATAGACGACTTGGTAGGCTACGACATATTTAGTTATTCAGTAATGAAATATCGCCTAGACGCTATCGGCGAAACCAAAATCTTGTAGAATTTAACCTCCACCTTCATTGACTTGCTTGCTATTAAACAGGCAGTAGGTCTAAGAACGACGAATAGGAGCACGAAACTTGTCATTTACGCTGCCAAAAGATCAGCGCTATTCTTTATCCAAAAGAAAAACCCAATGAACCAACACGTCTATGAAATCCACGGCATCTCTGCCATTGAGTTGTGCCCACTTGCCTACGCAAAGCATGACTTAGAGCAGAAATTAAATCTGTGAAATATTTGCCAAGTAAAGCTTTGCGCACCATTATCAACAAACTTGATTGTGAATACACTAATGTTACATTACCAGAAGATTATCTCTTCTAAATTACATCCATCCACCTTTTTCAAAGCTCTGCCCGCTGCGTCTTGAGAGATTAAAGTTCTCTGCAGACTAATGACCAATCTAGATTATGACAAACCTTATCTTAAAATGATCCGAGCCGTTCACAATAACACCTGCGGCATTTGCTTGATAGTTGAATCAGCTGAACATCTCATATTGGTATTAAAAAAAATTTGACAACACCACACTGACGTTTGGTCTGTTCTGGTATAACAACTTGTGCTGATAATTATACTCGTCTTAAGGAACTAACTGCATTTGTCAAAAACGCCGATTTTTCATTTTAACATGTCTTTTTTTCTATCTATCTACGCGTTTTTTTTCTTCTGGGCCTGATGACAGCAAGAGGTGACCAGTTGCCTGTAGGCTGTATGTGCACTCTCTATTTCAGTTTTTATAGTGCATACTTTGCATTCATTGACTACGGGTTTTTAGAATCATGCCGCCTATCGTAGAGCGATTAAGTTTTCTCAGCAGTGACGCCACGCAGCTCATTCGCACGGCTTAAGCTTTGCGGTCTATTTGGTTGGAACTTTCCTACAAGTAGCCACACTTCATTCTTTCAACTGCCTTGCAAATTTTCCCTAGCTGGGGTCTGAGTTTTCATAGCCTTCGAAAGCACTAAGGCACGCTCCTTTATCATGATAATTTAATCAAAATGGTCTTTACCTATTACTACTCCAGATCGTATTAACGGGCCTAGCATCGTTGCTGATTAATAAGTTTAGTCCGCGCCTTGACCGTGAGGTGGGTGGAAACTATAACAAGGTCACGATTTTCACGACGAGGTGTCATCTCCGGCTTGGTCGCAACAAGATCTAGCAAAAACTCTGAAAGCATATAGATGTCAATGAGTAAGACGGCTTCAGCATCGTAGAACTACTTACCGTTTACTGTGCAAACCTTAAGTTGCACCCGCGTTTTCACAAGGTTCTTGAATGAGAGTTACGTCCAGGGCTTCCTTTTAAATTAATGGGGTGCAAACAATGGTATCACGTTCCTATTGTAGTGTGATCGCATATCGTTCTTATGCATCCGCTTTGAAGTGTGACAGAACTATGCAAAATCAACATAATTCATTTGCAAAAAGAAAAACATGAATTATGTCACACTTCAACTGGCTAAGAATTGCATTTCGTAAAGCAATACGAAGCTACGCACGGTAATTAAAGTAATCCGTCACAATTATATTATTATTTTATGCTTACGCTAATGTATTTTGTTAATTTTAGTATAAATAGCCAAGCAAAATTAAATAAAATCAATTGTTATTCACCAATTCAGTACAGCGTTTTATTCGCTAAGAACAAAAGGCGTTCCATCCGCCTAACATATTAGCTAGGGACTACTTCTAGTCGATCACAATATTGGCACTAAAAGAAGTAGACAGACTTGGCGGACTGAAGCCGAGCAAAATAAGAAATTATCCCACAACAACACTTTGGTCACATATGAACAAAGATTCATAGGGAAGTTTTCCATTACACACAAACATTCCTTAGGTTCTTCACACAACCAACTAAATTTATTGCAGTGTAGACGATATAGGCGTCCAAGTTTTAAGTAAGCTTGCAGCGCGGCACACATAGACAATACATAGTCTGAGTCGAAGAAGAAGCCCTTGTAGCAAACGAAGTGGTGGGAGCTGCCGTGCTGGCGGTTTTTTATTTTGACACGACAGCTCCACGGACCGATGTAGATTAACGCTAGCTTTTTTTAACCCAATCTCAGCTTTATATGTCTTAATAGTCGAACATTCTTCCTCGCACGCCTCATCTGATGCTTCCGTCGGATCGCCTTGGAATCGGTCTTACACCGCTCTTGGACTATTATTTATTGGTGTTGGGATATGTCTTATATATATATATGCCTATGTTGGTCCAAAGAGCTTGATAATCCCTACATTGCGAAAAAGCTGAACCACACCCACAACCAGTACAGGACCAAATTTGGAATGAATCTCTAAGCCATCGCAAACATGCATAAGCTTGGCAACCGATAATAGTTAACAACAATTCATTTTCGACTCATCGTGACATTTTAAGGTTAAGAGCTAGTTTAAGTACGACATAGATAAATTACTTGCATTAAGCAATGTTGCTTTAATGGACCTTAAAGAGTCCGATAACGAGAATAAATGATAGACGTCATTTAGGTTCTTGCAAACAACTCTGAACGGGTTAAACAACTCATAATTATATTTACATTGACTAAGCTTAACAAGATAAAGTGCCTAGAAAAGCGGTTAGGGACATTAAAGCTTATTTCACCGAGTAATGCAGGCGAGTCAATAGCACCATTTATTACTTTGATTACGAAGGAAACGCCAAGAACAAATCTACGTTTCTCGAGAGACGGTAAGAACAACAGAAGCAATCTATTTTCATAGGGGGGAAAGAGGCAGTTGGATCCCAACCCAAATTCCTAAGGGCAAACAGCAAGAATTGCTTTTGAAATGATTCAATAGAATCTACATAGTACCTATATGAAGGGGACCACACAACAGAGGCATACTCAAGTGTAGGTCTAACCAAACACAAGTACAACCTTTTCGTAATATAAGAATCATCAAACTCTTTGGACCATCTCTTTATGAAACCAAGCGCGGTCCTATGTTTTCTTAACGAGAGCTCAACATGCAAATTAAAACGTAACCTATGGTCAAAGAGAACGCCTAAATCTGTGAACGTATCGACGTCCTCGAAATTATGTCAATCAATAAAATACTGAATAATGAATTGCTTTCTTCTTGCAAAAGAGAGCTTCTTACGTTTATTTAGATTTAGTTTCAGAAGATTCAGAGAGCACCATGCAACCAAATTATTCAAGTCTCTTTGAATCTGATGTGATTGCGATTCCACAGGAAGGAAGAAAACAGTTTCACGTCATCATTACATTAAGATCTAATTGGAATTGATCACTGATGGGAGATCATTAATGTATATACTAAATAAAATGTGACCTAAGTGGCTGCCTTGAGGCATGCCAGACGTCACGGGGATTTATCCGGGGTGATGAAGTTAAACAAAACCTTGAAGGATCTATTGTACAGATAACAGCTTATCCATTTCACTAACTAGAAAAAGAAGCCAAAGGCTTGGAGTTTAAAGATAAGTAAGTTATGGTTAACCAAATCAAACGCTTTGCTTAAATCAGTGTATATTACATCTGTCCGAGAGCCACTAGACAAAGCCTTGAAAACATGACAAGTTAACTGTAACAAATTGGTGTCCGTAGATCGCCCTTTCCGAAAGCCATGCTGGTGCGGAAAAATATACGAATTAATGGCAGAGGCCAAATGCTGAGTCACAATTCGCTCGAACAACTTAGGCAAATCACTTAACTTGGTAATGCCTCTGTAGCTCTCAACAAATCGTCTACTTTCACTTTAGTGGATAGGAATAAGGAAACTACTCTTCCAACATGAAGGGAAAACACCTAAATTCAAGGGCAGGTTAAAAATCTTTAAGATCACATCACATAACTCGACAACGCAAGATTTAAGTACAGATGATGGAATTCCATCAGGTCCAGGCGCATAACTATATTTTAGAGAACTCAACTCTTCAAAAACGTCATCTTTCGAAATAACCAAGTTAAGAATTGAAACCGAGTTAGTTATAGGATATGGGTAGTTTGCTGATAAATCGAAATTAGCAATCGCAAAATTTCGTCGGAAAAACTCAGCAAACAAATTTGAGATATCAAAATCATCCAAGGAATCAGAGCGATTAAAAGAAACATGAGAGGGATATGTGGAAATTTTTCTTTTAGAGTTAACAGATTTAAAAAAGTATTTAGGATTAGCAAACAGAGAGGATTTAATAAACTGAAGGTATCTGCAGCAATAATGGTGGTTGAGGGAATTATATCTATGCCTTGCCACGGAGTAAGCGAAATAGTCAAGAGCAGAGCCACTTTTCGAATATTTTTTGAATAGCGTGTTTTTTCTGTTCTTGTAGTATTGAATTGTCCTATTAAACCAGGTGTATACCTGCTTCGATGGCTTTCAATACTTCCGGTTGAGAAATCAAGCCTTATATGTGAAAATTGATATTTTAGCAATACAACATTAATTTTATGAAAATCGTAATATTTATTTGAAAAGGTGGATTCAAAACATTGAAACGGTTCAGCGAACGATCATGCTTGTGATGAAAGGAAATACGCATTGCTGGATTATAAGGATCGTCAGGTAAACTAAAAGGTGGACAACGATTTACACTAATGTCAGGGAAATTGGCAAGGCAGAGATCAAGCAGTCTACCATTACAATTAGGGATAAGGTAGTGTTGAACTAAATTATGATCAAATAATTCCGTAAAGAACACAACAGCTGTATCAGATGTTGAAGTAGGAATCAAACAGTCAGAATTATCACTGTTACACCAAGTGATTGAGGTAAATTAAAGTCTCCCAATGCAACTACCAAATCGGAGGGTTTCGACTGCTTGGCCACTTCACAAATGAAGACGGCCTGTTTCTTATATATGGAAATATCACAATTTAAGGGAATATAGGAGCAGGTTATAAATAGTTGTTTGTTAGGCATTTTCACTCGAAAGGCGATAAATTCAACGTCAGGAGTAGTAGAAAATTCAATTGATTTGGACAGAAATAACGAAGATATGGCAATTAATCCACCATCACCAATGCGACCCAATCATTTCTGAAAACTTGGAAAGAATTGTGGAAAAGTTTAGACGAATCTAGATCAGGTTTTAACCAAATTTCAGTGAAGGTCAAACAGGAGAACTCCGTGACCCCTGAATTTAGGAAGGTAGAACGAATTTTTATATATCGGCCCCTAACATTTTGATAAATGAGAGATAATGGGTCTGAAGAAACATTTAGTTTTTTGAAGGCGACAGGACTACTGGTTTAGTATTAACGGGACGATCACGAGTGATAAATTCCTTAATTAAGGATCCAACTGGCCACAGTGGTTTATCTAACAACATTTAATGTTTTCAGTCGAAGCAAGAATTTTAAAAGAAGCGATTGCTCTAGGTTGAGACGGAGCCAATTTAAAAATACTAACCCGCTTTAGATTGATTGATGGGACTTTTGCCGCCAGATGACTTTTCATGTTATCCAGACATGTATCGGGTGCCAGTCTTGACACAAATATTGCTATTCTGGGAGGAACTGCCGTCAAGCAAATGTCATTACAGCTAGGAGCAGTAGGGTTCACGACTGGGGAGTTTTGAGTTGGGGAGAATATAGATGGGGTTACCAATGCAGCGGCTTCTGCGGCATGCCCAGTTTGGTGACGAGCGCTCACACTCGAACAGCCGGGGGGAGAGGATGATTTATATTGCTCTTTATTAGTTTTAGGCGATGACGCCTGAGTTGATTCAGTGACGCCACTAGGAGGCGATACTCTTGCCACTTCAGCATAGCTTAAACCACTTAAAGACTTGCCGGCTTATTTGTAACCTTTTTGTTACAGGCCGACTCAGCCATATCAGACACGCTAACCTTCTTTGAGGACATTATGGAAGCGCTAACTTGCACCAACGAAACGGACTTAGGAGGAATTAGAGGTGACGTACCACACGCTACACTACGAGTTGTGATTTTACTAGCTTTGGAAGAAGAGGAATGCTCAATAAAACGACACTCATCAAATCTAGTCTTAATGATCTGAAACTTTTCCCACAAGGAGCCGAGATTTTTACTCAATTCAGAGAAACTATTTCTCGTCTCCGTGAACAATTTGTAGAAGTCTATGTCCCGCTTCCTACAGTCAGGACATGACCATTGCAATCCCTTCGAAAGGTCAACGACTGCATTGGCAGCACGGCCGATAATGCCGGCACACTTTGCATGGCTAAAGCGGTCGAAAAGCCAACAAGAAACGAATCTATGCGTTTTTGCGCGACATGGCGCATATAAGCACTCCATGCCAAGTCAACGAAAAGAAAGAAGTGAATTGTTAGGACAAAAAGGAGAAAAATTCAAAAGAATCCACCACACTAAGTTTAACAAATCTTTTAGATTCCGGGCCCGTTCTCACTCGACAAGGTGTACATAAACACTCCTTGTCCAATCACAAAAATTTATCAACCAATTTGAGCAAAACTCCTCTGTTACGTTGACACTGTAACAAGAGATCAAAAGCAATACAAACTGCAAACACCAAAAAAATAAACAGGGTAAAAGAGAGAAAAAGAAACAAAACAAAAAAAAAGAGAGATTTATATCAGAGCTCAAATTTTGTTTGCAAAAATCCAATGAATCAAAGCGTAAAGAAAAAATACTTCTTTTACTTTGAATTCACTCATTTTCTTGTCAAAGTATATTATAAATTTACACACAATGAGGCAAAATAGCCACGAAATTAAAATATTAATTGCCGAAACAAAATACAGACGACTATACCGCGCAACAGAGCTGCCAAATTATAAGTGGAACATATTTAAATTTTACCTCAATTGTGAGAATTATATATTTACAACATATATATTGTTAAAATGTAAAGAACAATGATATTTTAGTGTTGTTTTACGTAAGTTATGTTTAAAGTAAAGTAATATAAAGTCACGATTAACTAAGCATAAAAAATATTTATTGTAAGCAAAAAGATTTGGCGACTCTACTATTCTATAACTCGATTCTATTTAATGGCGGTGACACTTTAGAACTTTATTTGCCGACTTCCACTCAACATCTGACCCTCGTTTCTTTGTTTTTCTTTCGTTTTAAGCGTAAACACAACACTTGCGTTATGGGTTGTGCATGGCTCAGGAACTGTCAAAATAAAGTTAATCTTGTGCATTTAAATGTAGTTGTGTTGCGTTGTGCGTTAAGACAGC